TCTGTAATTTACATGAAATATAAAAGCCCAAGCTGCCAGGAGAAGGAATTTTGTATCAAGTAATGTCTGTGAGTAATGGGAAACTAGTTCAGGTGCTTACATAGCTGTTCATTTTTCCACCTAACAAGGAGGCTTCAGATGCTGGCTCAGCTGCTCAGATACCATCAGAATCCAGGTTCCTTCTCTTCCCACCCTTCTACCCTTACTGGGTTGGCCTTCCCTTGCAAATCAAAAGAATTCACATCTATCATGCTGTCAGGAAGCAGTGGGGAGAGGTTGCACCAACCACACTGGTTCATGTCAGCAGAAAAGCAAAAACTCTTCTACCCTCCAGGTCCCAGCAGAATTCTTCTTAGGTCTCATTGGTCAGCAATGTGTGCCGTGGCCACCCCAGCAGAAGGGGAAGCCGGGAAAGCAAGTGCTTACCTGGACACATTGCCTTCCCAACAGAATTGTATCACCCATAGGTGGGAGGGGGTGGGAGATCAGAAAGAGAGTGAGCTTTGGTTCAGGACACTGGTGTGGAGAAAAGTTAGGGTAGCAGGGCTGTACTTGAAAGAAGGAAGAAGACTTGATGAGTCCACCTGAGAAGGGGAATGTCCTCTTGCCTTTTGTATTTGTCATTCTATGTGAGGGCCCCAGAGTATCACACCCGTGCCTAACCCTTCCTTCATCCTGTTCTTGATTTTCTTCATTCCTTCTTCTCCAAACCCAAACCAGTGGCCCAAGAGCTCAGTAATGTTGAGATTAATCAGATCATCTGACTCATTGCTTTGTTTTGTTTTATTAATTTTTGGCAAATAATAGGCATTAAGTAAATGATTGCTTAATGAATGAATTAATAGGGAAATTCTAGGTAGAGATCAGCTGGTAAGGGCCTTTCCATGGCCAGAATTTTTCATTATTCAGGAGTCCATGGCAGGAATCAGGACACCATCGTTACCACAATCCACATGGACAAATGTCAGCCAAATGGCCCAGACTCAGTCAAGAGGAATCTGAGGAGGCTGATGACTCTCAGGGGGTCTCACTGCGACAGCTTTGTGGCTGCCTTGTGTGATACAGCTGCATGTCTTTCTTTGTGTTTGCAGAGCCAGCTTTCCCAGGCGCTGAATGGACTGTCAGACAGGGCCAAAGAAGCCAAGGAGTTTCTGGTGCAGCTGCGCAACATGGTCCAACAGATCCAGGTATGGACACCTCCCAGAACACAGGAAAGCCCATGGGTCAATATGTAACTGTGCACTGGAGGAGTTTGTTTCTTTTATTTGTATGTGTTCTAGGAACATTATTATTTGTTTTCCACTGTGCCTCTTTTACGCATACAAACACACACGCAGACCAACTTCAAACATTCCCCTTCTTGAAATGGTTAGCTTTCGCTGACAGCCAGACACAGCCTTGTTTTCCAAGTAGTTCTTATCTTCCACAGTGAGGTCCTAAATTTCTACCATTGTGCGTCCAGAAGGAGACCTAGTTCTTTGGGAATTTATGGTCATTATTGCTGAATTTTTAAAAGCCCGTATAAAAACTATAGCTACTTTAATAGTACTACATTATCTCTCCTTTACTCTCTCTCTCTCTCTCTTTTTTTCCCTGCCATACAGTGAGTACACTCACTGGCACAGAGAGAGACACAGAGGGAAAGTGAGAAAGCACCTCACTCTTAAGGGGGATGGCCGGCCACGCTGCAATCCTTTCTCCTCCATTCTCCTCTCAGGATTTTAGGCGTGCACACACATCCAGCCTGTTTTCAAGCCACTGGGTCTGGGACTTGCATGGCACAGTCAGCCATGTGGGATCCAGTCACCTTAACTACCACGCCACCTGCTGGCCCACGTATCTCTCATTTTTTTCCTTCTTTGTTTTCTTCTTTCTTTCCTTCCTGTTTTCCTTCCTTCCTTCCTTTTTATTTTCTTCTCTTCTTTCTTTCCTTCCTTTCTATCCTATAAAATGCCCCCTCTTCTACCTAAATACTTAACTATTTTTCAGCCATGACGCCCTGGTCACTATAGTTTCAGACAGCTTTATCTAGACACAATGACCAGCTGTTCAACCAGCACTTGGAAGCTCATAAATTCTGCAGCTGAAGGGGAGAAGCTATAAACTTCAAGAGATGCTAAAATAATGACCCTCTACACTGTTAGCTGTGCTTATGTTTTGAGGTTTGCCTCATAGAAATAACCTTAGCTCTAGCCTCCAGTAAGTAGCATGAGTTAATATTTAACCCACGTCAAGGCAGAAATGGACTTTTAAATGTAAGCCAGGCTTCAAAGCGTTACACAGATTTCTTTGCCTTTTTTTTTTTTTTTTTTATCGGCAAGCATACCCCTGTTAACACTTTTGATTCCCTAACAACCTAACAGTTTTGTACACTTCCTTCTGTACTCCAAAGCAACAGAGTTTATCAATCAGTCCTTTCTTTGCTTTTGCTGGCAGGAAATGTGCAGCCCCAGGCTTGCCTCTGCCTCGCCTCTTCATCAGAGCAAAGCTTTCTTTCTGTTCAAGATCAGTGACAGAGACTGCAAGGAGAGGGCTCCCCCCACCCTCAATATTACCCTGCACAGGGCATAGAGAGCTCTTAAATGATGTTTTCCAAGGGCCTTTTCTGAGAATTCAAAAGCGTTTGCCATGAAAGCCAAAATTTAGCATTTATAAAAGCCATTGCTCAGTTACTAATGTACACCTTATACAAAGGCCTTGCCTTTGAAAACAGTTACCAAATACCTATCTGTAGATTCTCATATGAAAAGACACAGTTCTTTATGGCTTGGGGAATAAATTAAAATTTTGATAGGCCAAGTTGTTTTGTTGTTTTTTGTTTTGTTTTGTTTCGATTTTTGCCACCCCTGCGAATTTTCAGTTTACTCAATTGAGTGCTTTTATTAAGTTTTAGTAATACATATTTGGTTGTCGAACAAGTTGTGATGTATTTTTTTTAAGCAAAAATGCATCATGACTTTTCCGACAACCCAATATATGCGTATTTAGCTTTCATTTGCTATAAATTACATTTTTTAGATTACAATTTAAGAATAAAAATCACATTTTGTAAACTATGCATCAGACAAGGGACTAATAACCAGAATTCACAAGGAACTCAAGCAGCTGTTCCGGAAAAAGACAATCAATCCTATTAAAAGATGGGAGAATGATTTGAAAAAAACACTCTCTAAAGAGGACATACGAATAGCTAAAAGGCATATGAAAAAATGCTCAACATCCCTCATTGTAAGAGAAATGCAGATCAAAACAACAATGAGATATCACCTAACCCCAGTCAGAATGTCTAAGATTAAAAAAAACAAAAAATGATAAGTGCTGGCGGGGGTGTGGTGAAAAGGGAACTTTCTTACACTGCTGGTGGGGTTGTAAATTGGTCCAACCACTGTGGAGAACAAATTGGAGATTCCTCAAAAATCTACAAATAGCACTACCATATGATCCAGCAATCCCACTTCTTGGTATCTACCCAAAGGACAGAAGAATACTTAATCGAAAAAGTGCTTGCACAT